CCCCCCCCACCACCACCACCCACCACCCTTTCACCTCTACTGCTACACACATTCTAAACAAGCTGTTCATGGATAATTTAACTGACTTGTGGAAGCCTTTACATGACTCCACAATGTGCGCTTACCGTAAACCACTTTGACAAAATATATGAATTGACCACTTATAAACAAACCTACGTAAAAGCCTTCTAATGACTTTCAAATGATAGAGGGCGATAAGAGTGTTCACGTTTACGAAACCCAAGCCGAAACCAGACAGACAGGTTTTGTTGAGTCGGGGGTGGAGGGAGTGGGAGTATACCAAATACGTTCCTCACTTCCGTTTTGCGGCAATCTCAGAACATAAGCATGACGATTCACGTCAACGGGTCACGTGCGGAATTCTGAAGAAATCACCGATAGTGGATTCAAGATCAAGGAAGACGAGATTAAAAGGGTTCCGATCGCATGTTCTAGTTCTCTTATCTTTGTACCATTCTAACGTTCAGCCAGCAGGAATTAAGTCAAGTCTTGACAGGTTTCATCACATTAAAAGACAAAGGCCCCACAATGGCAGAACAATGAGGACGTCAGCCCTTCAGAAGTATTGGTGTTGTCTTGTCAACAGGGTCATGCTGAGTAAAGCAAACAGAAATGTGAAAATGAAGGGGGGGGGGGAGATGAAGGTATGTGAAAAGCTCCAAGGAAAGTACACAATCATGAGGGCATTGTCTCAACATGAAACAAACGGGCGACTCTGAAGGGGTGTCAAAAGACACATCAACATGTGATATGAAAAAGGTGGTTCACAAGTAGTCCACCCACACTCCTCCCCCACCTCAATTTGCTTTGTTTCCTTCTCCCAAAATAGCAATTTTGACACACTATAAAATACATAGCGGAGCAATATTACTCCTACTGTATGGTTGAAAGAGAATTTCTCCGATTTTTGCCCACTACCTTATGAAATGCAGAGTCACTGTCGTCTTGAAAACATAGCATAATAATTAAACCATGAGGTCCAAACATTTGAACCCACACCGGTGCAATGGCAAGTCGCTAAAATGTATCCTTATTTCAAACCATTCTTTCCTCCTTTGGCATGTCCCACACACTGCCCTGCTAACTACAGTGTGTGTAATACTACAAGTGTTTTATTTTTATTGTCCACAACAAGTTATTTGATAAATGACTAATTTTGATCATGTATCTTCATGATCCTATTGAACATTTTGCACGCAATCCCTGAAATTGCTGTCCACCATGTCATAAGGCACTCTCTGGCGATGTTTACCATCAGCATTTTGTCTTTCTGAAACCGGTGGCTCGTTGCGGAGTAAATATCTGCACTTACAGGTATGTTTCGCAATTTTCGTCATATCGTGTCGTTCACTCCGAAATATCAATAGATAGGATAACCTTTCAGAAATTCAAAGTACATTCGCTAAAGAGCACGCAGTCAGCTTGCTAACTAAATCATGTTGTAACAGTAGGTCATACGATGCTAATATGAGAAAAAGAAAAAAATGTTCACCCAGTCATTGGCCACCATGTTGACGAGCTCAAATACTTTGCTGTTTGCATATATTGTCGGCTTGTAGTTAATGTATTAATAAGTGTGGGATCTTGACCAATATATATTTCCAAGAGTGTACCATCTACTTAAAACAACTCAGAAATGTTTGGTATGAAAAGGGGAAGTCTCAAAGGCTGCTTGTGGTGACATTGACTCATATGAAAAAAGTTGTGAATAAAGCCGAGATACTTACGTTCCGACTGTTCAGGTGTAAGAACCAGAACAGTGACTTTGGTCGAGTCCGACTGACCAATGGTGTCCGTGACCGTCAATTGGAATTTGTACATTCCCGACGTCAGATTGGACACAATAATCTGGTCATCGAAGCTGGTTTTCTACATGAAAACAAAAACTTGGTTACCATTTGGATGCATCACTTCCTGAGAACTCAACAGCCAATTAACACTGCCTCACCTCTATCACAGCATAGGGATACTTGGTAAGCATTTGCCACAAATAGGACACAATCCCTTCGTCGTCTTTGCTCTCCAAGCCGTTCAGCGTCACGCTGTCTTGAGGCTGGACCACGCGGTCCTGGCCTCCATTGGCCACTGGTGGACGGTCGGTTTCTTCTGGAGTGAGACAGCATGGTAACAATTTTATTCCACAACCACCGAGCGCACACAGATTCCAATTCAACCCTCTTCCGAGCTCATACCACAACACATTCACATGTGAAATCAATCTGCGGTAGATGAGAAACGAAAAGTACGGCGGCGGCCGTAAGGCTTGGGCATGTGTCAACATGCTGAAATGGAGGTTTCTAGCCTAGTTATGTGGCCTTACGTGTCGTGAGTGCAAACAGAGTGGGACTGGAATCTACTGCTCCAATTCAACCCTCTTCCGAGCTCATACCACAACACATTCACATGTGAAATCAATCTGCGGTAGATGAGAAACGAAAAGTACGGCGGCGGCCGTAAGGCTTGGGCATGTGTCAACATGCTGAAATGGAGGTTTCTAGCCTAGTTATGTGGCCTTACGTGTCGTGAGTGCAAACAGAGTGGGACTGGAATCTACTGCGGGAAGAGGGGAAGAATAAAAAATAAAAAGCTGCGCAACTTAATGTTGAGGAGAGAGGTGTACATTTAATGACCTCCAAATTAATTGCCTATTTCTCTGTTGCCAAAAGATGAGAAACTCTTGGACGCAGATGTCATTTCAAGTCATTCACAGATGAGATGTGTGTCTCGGTTTTTTTCATATTTGTTGAAAAATAACACTAGCGACTTCATTGTATCTCACAAAGTAATACAATGGATTCAAAGTAGTCCATGTTTCATTTTCAGTCCATCACTTGGATCCCGTGGGTTTATTAACAGCATCTGAGATCTCAAATTATTATTATTATTTTTTTTTTAAGCAGAGTGATTTTAAGGGTGAAAGTAGAAAATTCAGGGGCACACACTGTAATCGACTTATGTATTTATATGTTCACTCATTTTTATTATGTTGCTGATAAATGGGGTCAAGTGTGGACCAGGGGTTTGTCAGGAACAAAAACATTCAATCATCATGATAATAATATAAAGATTTAAAAAAAAAACTGAAAATTCAATGGTCACGAATGTGTGAGTGGATGAAAAATTTACTTGTACTGTCTCAAACTATCAGGGCAAAATGTCAGCATTTAGGGGCAGCCTGGAGCCCTGCCAGTACCTGCAACATGACCACTATTAAAATACAGTAGCGTAGTAGGCCTAAGTCTTGGTGAAAATGGTACGTAAATAAATGCTTGATGATGATAAATCTCACGCATCAAATGCACTTTATTTTAACAAGTATAATAAATCTGAAATGAAACCAAATTGTAAACACAAAAGTCACTGTCCTAAAGCATTTTGAAGCTATCTGCAACTTCCCTTGACTTTGTTTCCGACAACTTTATTGCAAAACAGCGTAGGCAGTAGATGTTTCAAGTGTTGGTTCTCAACTGTTGTCACCCTGGGAATTGAGTTTTTTTTTTATCATTGCCAAGTCATGACCCACTTTTGCAGAAGTTACCAACAATAAACAACATACAATGTTCAACAGCATACCCATTGAAAACATAGAAATAACATTTTTAAACATATCTTCTCAAGCTTACGTGTGCAAAGTGCAGCTGAGAGTCACTGATTTAGAGCATGAAAGAAAATGATATTAACATTTTGTTGAAGGTGAATAATCGAGAGGAGTTGTGATCGATTCAAAAATATTAATGACCCGTGTGTGTGTGTGTGTGTGTGTGTGTGTGTGTGTGTTGATGGTCTTACTTGGTGGGAGATCTACTTCGAGGTAGCTCTCGTAGACAGAGTCCAGGATGTAGTTGTAGTAACCTTTCTTCCTTACAAAGCGACAGGCGTATTTCTTCTTGTAGAGGCAGTTAAAGAGGAAGCAGGATTTGATGGAGTTCTCCTCAGCACCCCCCTGCATGAAGGCCACATTGCACTTTTCCTCCTTGCAGCAGGCCGCCACGCAGTCTCTGGAGCGGTCCAGTTTGGGGGACGAGATGAACATGGCCCCGTCCTTCACGGACTCGTCGACGTCCAACACAAAATCTTCGCGGCCTTTCTTAAATTTGGCCAAACACTCCTCACCTGTCTCCTGACTGAAGGCGCACGCCAAAAATACCAGTAGCAACACCAGCGGCCACCAACCCATAATTATTACAACAATTAAAAAAAAAAAA